GAAGATTGAAAAAAGGAATGAGAAGATGCGTGATGATCCATTAGACAACAGTTTATCAGTTATAATTTTAAGGGGTTGAAGAATGAATAGAGAGGATGCGTACATGGAAAGAACAGGTGTGGACTTTTTCATGTTATTCAGCAGTAAAGGAAGAGAGAGAGAAAACTGGCAGCTGGAAGCTGTGGGAAGATATTTTTCTTCCTTGGAGGAAACAGGCATTTTGTGATCAAAAGTGAAAGAGTCAAAAGTTCTTGGTGTGGCACAGAAAGGCCTTTGTGATCTGTCCTTTGTCCCATGTCTGCTACTCCAGCATTACCTCTTGTCACTTATCCTCAAAAGTTTCCTGCCTTAGCCAAACTGAACCACCATGCTCTTAGTGATGCTCATGCTTATTAGTACTGAGGATTCCCCAGATCCATCTTTGAGTCATTTCACAACCTATTACTCAGAAAACCAGCAGAATGGACTTCATCTGGGCATTAGAAATGCACATTTATAAACCTGCAAACCAGCAGAATGGACTTCATCTGGGAGTTAGAAATGCACAATTTGTAAACCTGCTGAAGCAGAATCTGCATTGTAACAAAATTTCCAAGATGACTCAAGGGCTTTGAAATTTAAAAATTGTCCAACAAGCCTGTTAGCCCCTAGAGCTCAGTCACTCTGTATGCTTTTACTTATCTCTCTTGTGCATTGCCAGGTGTCATTAAGTATCTGGCCAATGACGACAATGTTTTGATTTTATCAATATGCTTAATGAGCACTGACTATATGTCAGGTACTGTTCAAGGTAGGAGAATCACCAATGAACATGGTAGATAAGTTTCTACCCTTATGAAACTTACCTAACATGGGAAGAGACAGACAAATGTGTTAAGAAGTTAAGAATTTCAGATATTGATATAAAAAAATAACATGGGCTGGGTACGGTGTTGCATGCCATAATCCCAGCAACTCGGTGAGGCTGAGGTAGGAGGATTACAAGTTCAACATCAGCTTCCACAACTTAGAAAGTCCTCATATCAAAAAATAAAAAGGGCTGGGGATATATCTCAGTGGTATACACCCCTGGTTTCAATCTCCAGTACCAAAAATAAATGGGGCAATGGGATATAAACTTCATATCCTATATAGGGGATCTAGTTAAAATACATTAGTTTTAGGCCATGCCTGTTGAGACAAGAATGCTGAGGAGAGCTAGCTTGCCTATTTTTGCAAATACAGAAATAAGTCTGGCATAAAAGAACAAGGCAAGATGTTATCAGTGATGAGATCTAAGAGGTAAGCAGATGCTAAATCATGTTGGGCAATGAGTTTCAATGCTGTAGACCCACTGCCCCTTAATTTAACAAATATTTCACAACACTACTTCAATATCCTGCAATGAAAGTCATAGCTAATATAATCCACACAAGTGCTTGTTCCGCACTATAAAGACTAAATAGAATGAGTGGGATTTATAATAAATAATAAATATTTTCAGAATGTTAAAGTTTACTCCTAGCAACAATTTAGAACATAATAAAGTTACATGAAATTTAATACATAAAAGCGTTATGAATGTGAACTGCAATGCAGACTGATAAAGATGAAATTATTGGTGTTTCAATTATGTCCTTGGTGACCAACTCTGGGTAAAGTTTTGAGTAAAATAAAGTCTTTGATTTTCATAGTAGTTACATTAAAGAAAAATTAATGGTAGAATAAAAGTGCAAAAAGTACTTTGTGTTTAAATATAACAAGGAGAAGGTTCTAGGCTCAGCTAGTTATAAATATATTCTTTATTTACAGAATCTCTGATGGCATAGTTGAAGGTCTTGCAGGATATGCAAGAACACATCATTTTTATTTATTTTAGTTTTAGGTGGACAAAATATCTTTATTTTATTTTTATGTGGTGCTGAGAATCGAACCCAGTGCCTCATGCACGCTAGGTGAGCGTACTACCACTTGAGCCACAACCCCAGCCCAAATACATCATTTTTTGTGTGGGTCTTCTCCATACATCACAGGACATTTAGGATCTTGCAGCTCTATCCACTAACTGCCATTAAGAGGTCTCTAGTAATTGTAACAGCTAAAATAATGCCTCCAAAAAATTCCCTTAGGAACTTGGTACTACTGTTGAGGATCACTGAGTGTGTTATGTGCCATGGTAAGAAGTTTGGATTTTATTCCTAATGCATTGTAACTACTGAAGGGTTTCAAATGGATGAGAGAGAGGTGGGGGGAGTATAATTGATAAGTCCTGGGGTAATTGATCCCGATTATGAGGGTGAAATAAAAATTATAGCTAGTTCTCCAAGAGATATATCAGTAATTTCACCAGGAGATAGAATAGCACAGTTATTAATAATACCCAGCCTACATGATAAATTTTCCAGTCGTACTGTAGAAAGAGGTTCCAAGGGATTAGGCTCCACAGGTGTAGATTGGGCTATGCTGTCTTTAAATTTAGATTCTCGCCCCATGCTAAAATTAAATATTAAAGGACATGACTTTAATGGGCTACTGGACACAGGTGCTGACCTTAGCATCATATCTCATCAAGAATGGCCAAAACATTGGCCATTACAACAAGCCACTCAAACATTCAAGGCCTAGGAGTGACAACAAATCCCTGTACGGGCCACCAATTGCCGCAGTCTGGCAGGGCACAAAATCACGAGCCACTCAAGCAGAAACAAACTTTATTTTTGAAACTGCCGCCAATACCCGTACACGTCCGGGAAGAAAGCCGATCCACACACGCGCAGCATTCTCCCGGAACCCCAGAACAAGTTCCTCCCCCAGAATTCCCTCCTACTGTACTTCCCCAAACAATGGGAACTCTCCAGGAGTCCCGTAGCAGGCCGAGGTGAACAGCAGGAGTCCAATATCCACATGAATGCAAATCTTAACATAATCATATCATCTCAATGGCTAGCTGGCGTCACCTTTCAACGAAAAGTGCCATACATCATATTACTTGGCTGTGGCTCTTAGCATATAATCTCTAGCTTCTGACTAGACAATGAACTTCAAGTAGAGAAAATAACCTAAGAAATATAACTGATAGGGCAAGATTGTAGAGGCAAAACAAGGCACAGATTCAGGTAAAGAATTACTTTTAAAAACAATGGGAAAATGTCTTCAGTGACTGAAAAGTAGAAAGAATGGATGGTGATATAAATACACTTGGAGGTGACAATAAGAACTTCTGGATTACTTTGGATGGTTCCAGTCTTATCAATAAAAAAACTATATGGTGATCTGCTGACTAGGACCAAAGTTGGGGTAGAGGATTGTGAGTGGAAGAATTGGGGATAGGTTATATGAAGTATATACCCAGGGAATAACCAGGAAAATAATGAAAAAGGATTTAATAACAGCAGTGAAGTCCCTTAGCAAAAGTATAAAATTATGTCCATTTTGATATATGGAATTTTTATATAGCCTCTCTTGGCAAATGGGTAACAAAGAAGGGCGTACTTAGTTTTTTTAGGATTGGTAGATTGGTGTGATGCAAGGTTAGAAGAATGAGGAACCAAAGGTGCAAGTGATACCATAGCAAAAATAATTTAAAAGGCTGATGGTATAGTGCAGGCTAGAACAGAAAAGGCAGGTAAAATCAGTAGGGACTAAAACACATGAGAAAATAAGGAAGAAGCAAGGGAAATAGATGGAGGTTCACTTGAAGAGCTGGATTGGAAGTCATAGAAGAAGATATTTCTGAATTCGAGATGTTAGAAGTAAAACAATTCAAAGTGATAATGAGATTCAAGCTGAACAGTGCTCATGAATAGTAGAGCTAAAATGAAGTTGCATACCATTAGAAGTGAGGCAGTCAGCAAACCCAAAATCTAAGAAAGGATCCTCATGGGTAAAGTTTAATTTTTTGTTCAGTTATTTTGTGATTTCATTTCACTTGCCTAATATTTATGGTACAGTTTCCTCATACTGGAATATAAATCTAATAAGGTCAGATGCTTTGCTTCTTAATTCTTTATTCCAGCATCAAAATATTACCTGGCACATAGTAAATAAGTGCTTCTGTCAATAATTGTTAAATGCACGAATAAATAATAACTACCATTTCTTTAATAAGCACCTTCTAGAAATATGCAAAGTACCTTAGACACATATTCCAAACTCTACAAAGCAGGTTTTTTAAGCCCCCTTTTTCAAAGGACGCTGAAGCAGGAAGGTAGCATAGAATGGGAATGGCAGATTGCCTGGGTTTGAATCCAACTTTGCCATTTACAAGCTGTGTGTCTTTGTCATCTGTGAAGTAGTAATTTATAACAGAATGTACCTTCTAACACTGTTGTAAGAATAAATTAGTTCATTTTTATGTACTTGTTAGAACAATGACTAGCATATAGTAAGAACTATATGAATATTTGTTAATCAAATAAAATAAACATGGCTAGTAAAGGTGAGAGTTGATATTCAGACCAATGTTTGCTAACTCTAGTCTTTCCCACTACACCAAGAAATTACCACGTCACATTGTTATCATGATATTTCTGGGTAATTTTTATTTAGGAAATCTGTTCATTCAAATAGCAACCTTAATTCCACACATCCCAAAGTTCATACTTTTACTAATGAAATTCACTTGTGTCACATCATTCAATATTAAGCCCAAGAACTAAGAATATCTACCAAACGGTAAGTATTGCTCCATGTGCTTAGGGAAAATGTATTCTGCAATATTAATCAGTATATTTTTGCAAGTATTAAAAGCCTAACATACTTAGCATGGGCAAACCAAACCAATTTAAAAAAAAAAAAGCACTTTCTGTGCTTTAATTTACAAGGTAATTAGATTACCTTACCCAGTTATCAATGTGTCATTAGTATCTGACTCACACTAAAAATTAGTGGTTAGTTTGCAGCTTGATATACAATCATACATTGAAATACAATCTGTCTCAATGAATTTTCTTATTCATTATCCTGTGTAAAGTCAATAATAGATTATTAAATTTTTAATGACCCTTCTTATTTCATTTTAGATTTTATGTTTACAATAAAAAGAGACGTCTTATCAACACCCCTTACGTGGATAACTCCTATAAGTGGGCTGGTGGTGGATTTCTGTCTACAGTGGGTGACCTTCTGAAATTTGGGAATGCAATGCTGTATGGTTACCAAGTCGGGCTGTTTAAGAACTCAAATGAAAATCTTTTACCTGGCTACCTCAAACCAGAAACAATGGTTATGATTTGGACACCAGTACCTAACACAGAAATGTCTTGGGATAAAGAGGGTAAATATGCAATGGCATGGGGTGTTGTAGAAACAAAACAAACATATGGTTCTTGTAGGAAGCAACGGCATTATGCTTCACATACTGGAGGTGCAGTGGGAGCCAGTAGTGTCCTGCTAGTCCTTCCTGAAGAACTGAATACAGAAGTTATAAATAACAAAGTCCCCCCAAGGGGAATAATTGTTTCTATCATATGTAACATGCAGTCTGTTGGCCTCAATAGCACTGCTTTAAAGATTGCCCTGGAATTTGATAAAGACAGATCAGAGTGATACCTTAACATCACAGGTGCAAAATAACCTGTTCTTTTTTTTAATCATTAAAATTCCAAAATATGAGATTTTTATGAATAAATTTGTAATAGACTTCAATGGAATGCAGAAAATTATGTACTTGTAATTGCTTAATTTTGTAACTGTCTTTTATTATAGAATTTGTTCTTTATACTCAGGGAAGTAACTATAGTTTCTACTTTTTGAAAAAAGTGTTGACTGTTGAAATAAAATATTCTGATAAAAAGATGTACTTTTTGAATGTGTAATGAGGAAATCTCATTCAGCAGGAGATTCTGGGTATTGACCTTTTAATATGACAGCTGAAACAAGATTATGAGAAATTGTATATTAGTTATCTATTACAGCTTAAAAGAGCAAACATTTATCACCTCACAGTTTCTGAGGCTCGGGAATTGAGAAGTAATATTGTTGGGTGGGTATTTTGCAGTCTCCAACAATGTTGCAGACAAGGTATTGTAGTTTTTCTCAAGGGTTCTCTGACACTAGAGGAAATGCTTCCATGAGTCACCCCTATGGCTGATAAGTGAGATAAGGTCTCTGTTTGTCACCACAAGGACCTCTCTGTAGGGCTGCTTGAGAATCTTAATGTCATAGCAGTTGGCTTCCCCCTAGCAAATGACAGAGCACACATGAGCAAATGTAAGCACATCAGGCTAAAGTCAATATATTTTAGAAGTCATACTATCACACTTGCCAAATTTCCTAGGTCACATGGGACCCAATATAATGTTGAAGAGACTACATGAAGTATAAAATCATGAGGTAGAGATCATCACAGTCCGATGTCTTGTCTCTATTGATTTATGTCCTTCCCACATGCAAAATAAACTTAACACCCAAGTCCTCCAGAAGTTTCATCCCATTGTAGCAGCAGCACAAAGCCCACCATCTTATCATCTAAATCAAGTCTAAGTGTGAATAAGACTCTTTGGCAGTAATTCTGGATAGTTCCTTAAGTATAGTAATTCAAGTATATAAGTTCCTTTTCATATTAAGACCTGTGAACTAAGACAAGTTATTTGCTCCCCACAGGTACACTATACAACAGATGTAGAGTTACTGTTGTAGTCCCTCCTATTCAAAAAGTTTTGAGAGGGTGTCCATGGCAATCCCAAAATCCTCTGGCAACTAACTTGGCAGCTCCTTGATTATTACTTAAGGCTTGGCTTTTGACTGTTTTCTGGGCTCTTGGTTCAGATGTTATTCTTCATTCATGTAAGGTAGCATGTGTTTCCAGCTGAGTGGTTTTTCTCAGCCTGTTTCCTGCTTCTTAAAGTTAAGAGGGCCAAAGGTCTCTTTATCTGCCCTTTCAATCTAATTAGCAGTGTTTCTGACAATATAATATTTTTAAATGTGAGAGTATCCTGCTAATTTTACTGCAGTTTATGCCAGTAGACAAAATCTACACCCAAGTGCCCTTCAAAATAAGCCTCTAATTTGGAATTAACTTGAGATCATGTTTTCCTGGAAGTGTCCTAGATTTTATCTTTGCCTTGAAGCCATTTCTTAATTTTTAGTATCATCTATCATCTGAAGATAGAACTTAAAAAACTAATTATTTATTCCTTTTTATTTGTTTATTTCCTTTATCTCATCTCTTGCACGTTGGTATAAACAGCAAGAACTCAGGAGGCACATTCAGCACTGAATCTGGAAATCCCCTTTAGGTCACCCAGTTCATGAGGCACTATTCTATTTTGTGTTACTGCAAGCAATAGTGTTGCTACACTTTCTGCTGCTACACAACCAGAATTCCCTTTCCTCCATTCTGTAATAAGATTTTCATTACTTTCCTTAAGTCCACATCTATAGCATCCTCAAAAGCTATCACAGTTTCTTCAAGGCTCTTCATGTTTCCACTAACACTATCTTTAAAGTCCTTCCAGTTTCCATCCACTGCTTTGTTCCAGATTCGTGTGTGTGTGTGTGTGTGTGTTTATGTGTGTACAGTTCAGATAAAATGCATAGTTAATGCCATAAGACTCATCCTTTAAAGCATACAGTGGTTTTTAGTACATTCACAAGATTACCACTATCCAGAATGTTTTCACCCAGAAAAGAAACTGTTTCTATGAGCATTTGCTCCCCATTCCTCTCTTCTTCCAATACCTGGTAACCAGCAACTTAGTATGTCTTTGTGGTTTTTGATTATGGATGATTTGTATACGTACAGTATGTGGTCTTTTGTGTCCAAACTTTTTCATTTGGTATAGTGTAAATTAGCTATTGCTGCATGAAAAAAATTACCCCAAAACTTAATATTCTCTTACAGTCTCTGTGTTTTAGAAGTCCAAAGCAGCTTAGCTGGATGGTCCTAGCTGTCTCCTATAAGGTTGCAGACAAAATGTCCACAGGGGCTTCAGTCAACCGAAGCCTTGACTAAGGCTGGAACATCTGACTGTAAAGTGGCTCGCTCACATGGCTTTGGGCCAGAGGCCTCTCTTACTGGGTTTTGGCAAGAGTATCAGTTGCTCACCACTTGGGCTTCTCCATAGCTTGTCTTAACTGTACTATGGCTTCCCCTAAAGTAAATGAAGAGAGAACCAGGCAAAAGCCACAGTGTTTTTATAATCTAGGCTTGGAACTAATCTTATTCAAAGATCAACACTGACTTACTGTGGGAGAGGACTGTACAAAGGCATGAACACCAGAAGTTGCAAATCACTCGGAGCCATCTGGGAATGGCTCCTCGGATGGCTTATTATAATGTTGTTGACATTGGAATATTTTGCTGTCACAGCATAGATGATGTATCCTAGAGGCTACCACTGTGCCACTAAATTCAGGAAAACTCAAAAAGAAGTCAAAGTTCTGTACACTCTAATAAATATTTTTCACAAGTTCTGAGCCCTAAGTCCATCTCATCACTCACCTCCTTATTGAAGTAAATATAGTTCTGGGTTGGTTTAAGTGTAAATAGAATGTCTCACTGTAACAGACCCATTTCATCTCCTTATTTCTCCTGATGTCTGTCTGGTATTACTGTTTGTCAAATTTCCCAATCCATGCCCTCTTTGAAAAACATAAAAGGTCTCACCTTCTCTTAAAGCTATTTTAAAATTTAAATATGCATTAAATATTGTCACTAAAAATCAAAATAACTGTAATTTTTAAAAGGTTTCTGATATTAATGATATAGCTTTTTATCATGATATTAATAATATAGCTTTTTTGAGCCTTTAAATACATATAGTAGTTGCTTTTAAAATTTTTTAGAATTCTTGTTGAAACTCTAAGAGATATGAATCTTCTCAGAAAATGAGCCAGTATACAAACATCAGAAGTTCACAGACCCCAAATTTAGAATTTCTCTTAAATATTTTTGCCACAATTACTTATATTCTTAATGATGTTAGATTTCTTAGTATTGATAAATCTTCATTTCCCACAAAATGATCTCTCTGGCATAACTGATCCTTAATATTAGGGTAAAGAACAACTTAAGTTTTTTTGTTTTTTGTTGTTGTGGTTGTTGAAACTTACAAACTTATCAAGTTGATCATTGGCTACAAATGATTTGCTTTATTTTTTCTTCTGTTAAGTTGAACTTTTGTGAAACTTAAAAAAAAAAATACTAGAAAGAAACAAAAAGCTTCACGTGAGACAAATAACCATATTCCCAAAACCCAGAACTTAAAATGTTAACATCTAGTCAAATTAGTCTTTTTAAAATAATAAGTAGGGCTGGGTTTATGGCACAGTGAGAGAGTGCTTGCCTAGCATGTGTAGGACACTGAGTTTGATCCTTGGCACCACATAAAAGTGAACAAATAAAGGCATTGTGTTTATCTACAATTCAAAAAAATAAACATTAAAAAAATAATAAATAGGGGCTGGGGTTGTGGCTTAGTGGTAGAGTGCTCACCTAGCATGCCTGAGGCCCTGGGTTTGATTCTCAGCACCATATAATAAAATATAGTGTCCACCTAAAACTAAAAAAATATTTAAATAATAATAAGTAGATAAGGCTGAAGACCCCTTTAACCATCAAAGTCCCACTCCTTTTACCTAGCAAGCATCTCTCATCAGGGATTAGTGTATATCCTTCCACTTCATTGTTTGATACTTTCATAGCCATACATATGTATCCATATCTAATATGTAGTATTAATTTTTGTTATTTATATACATACAAATAGTATCATATTATACATGTTTTCTACATTCCTTTAAATTTACATTGTTTTTGTGATCTGGACAAGTTGATACACATGAATCCAGTTTGTTGCTGACTGCTATAAAACATCACTATCACATTGGCACTATAGACAATGTAAGAAACATCTTTTTCTTAGGTTGAACCACATGAAATTACTGTTCTTGTATGTCAGAAACATTTGAATATGACAGTTTTATATGGTTGGACCTGTGTATATGGCAACACTTTTTAACATCTAATCTTGAATTTTAAAAATATTTTTTAGTTGTAGATGGACACAATACCTTTATTTATTTATCTTTATGTGGTGCTGATGATCAAACCCAGGGCCTCACATGTTAGGCAAAGCACACTACTACTGAGCCACAACCTCAGCCTTTAAATTTTTGATTATGCAAAATATATGCAAAACTGTAGGATTTTTATTGGCATTTACCTGCTGTTAGTGAAAGCTAGACATACTTGTATATGTTCATTGGTCATTTGTGTTTTCTTTAACATAAATTTCCCACTTTGCTTATTCAGACTAGGGAAAACAAAGTACACCATTAAGGATTGATGATGGACATTTTCATGGATTAGGGAATGAATAGCCTTGATCAATATTAGAGTTCTCCCAAAGGTAAGAGACTGTATAATGGCCACAATTTCCTCCCATTTCATTGTACATGCAAGTTTGCAACATGATTTTGTCATGGTTTTCATCTAAAGGTGGAGCTAGGTGAACTACTCCCTTGAAGCTGGCTGGCTTTGACTTGCTTTGACCCATAGAATGTGGTAGAAATAACGTTGCACAAGTTCCTGCTTTTAAGCCTTAGGATACCTTTAAGCTTCTATATTCACTATTTAAAAAAACTGCCCCAAGAATGCCATGTAAAGACAGACTAGCTTACTGGAGAATTAAGATACCCAGCTGCCAGCAACACCAGCTGCCAGATATGTGACTAAAGCCAGGTTAGATTTTCCACTCCAGTTGTGCCTCCAGCTAAAGACAGTCACTCATAATCATGAAGAGTAATTAATTATTTTTTTAAGCCACTAAATTTGGAAGTCGCTTGTTTTACAGCAGTAGTTAACACAATTGTGCTCTACTATGCTAATGAGGGGTAAATTTTAGGGAAAAATAACTTTAAAATACTTGATAGATAATATCCTTTTTTATTATTAACAGAGAATTTACTGTAAGAGCATTGTCCTAACCACTTTGTAAGTTATCTTGTTTTATCTTTAAAACAACCCTATGAAATTGTTTTATTATCCTTGTTTTTCCCAGAATCACGAGCAATTAACCACTAGAACTTGTTTTAGACTGAGCTATATCTGCCTCTAATACCTGTTTATGTAAAAAACTATCTTGCCTTCCCAAAGGCGGAGGGTGGGGTGTGTACCTCTACAAATTTGCCAGAGCAAAAAAGTCACATTTAGTGGCATGCAATTTTATCGATGCAATTCAGTTTTAAAAAAAGAAAAAAAGAATTTAAAGTCAAAGGCTGGGGATGTAGCTCAGTAGCAGAGCACATGTGCTCAATCCTTAGCACCCCACACAACAAACACACACACACACACATACACACACACAAAAAGTCATACTAAAAAGTATATATTGAGGGCTGGGGTTGTGGCTCAGTGGTAGAGCACTTGCTCAGCATGTGTGAGGCAGTGGTTTGATTCTCAGCACTGCATATAAATAAATGAATAAAATAAAGGTCCATCAACAACTGAATTTTTTTAAAATCATTAAATAATACATATATAGAATGGAATGGACATCACTACCCTAAGTACATGTATGAAGAAGACACGAATGGTGGGAAAATATACTTTGTATACAAGCAGAAATATGAAAAATTGTGCTCTATATATGTAATATGAATTGTAATGCATTTTGCTGTCATATATAACAAATTAGAATAAAAATTTAAAAAAATTTTTACAAACATAACACATAGATTTTAATTAATATATCTGGCTGCAAATAGAATATACCACCTTTCAAATTATTATAAAGGCAAAGTCGTCATAATAAAGTCATGCTCTTAATGCCCCCTTTGTTCTAAATACATATCACGAAAAGTGAAATAAGAAAATTGAAAAGTAATGAATGAACACAAAACACTGAGCAGACTGAAGATGAGGGCATTCTGGACTTGGGGTAGCAATTTCAATTTCTAATCCTATAGAATAATCAACATTAAAACTGTGTCCCTAAGACAAATGTATAAAATGTAGGCTTTTAACCCATTTTGTCCCATTGTCCCAGAGAAAAACTTAAACTGAACAACATAAATATACCACTTATGGTTATTTTGAAATATTTGAATATGTATTTAGAGAATTAAAAAATTTAGCACTTAATGGGTTAACTAAATTTGACAGGACTAATTTCTTTCTAAGGTTTTGAGGTTTTGCTATGTAAAAAGCAGTAGATCCCACATAGAAGGGAGGATGTGAACCAGTACAGGTAGAACAGAAATAGCAGAAATTTTGCTATTCTGTCATCTCCTTTGAAATAAAATTAATGTAAGCATGGGTCAACAGTAAATACTATTACTTGACAGAATCCTTTCTGTCTACAGTTGTAAAAAATGTAGCTGTAATATCCTAAAAGGATATATTCAGTCCTACATACAGCAACTTGGAAAATGTTAGTAAGACACGAAATAATCAGAATACCTTTTTTAAACGTTTAAACACACACAGTATAAAAAATTGATAGCATACTCATACTTTAAAAAAGACAAGGGGGGGCGGTTGTCCATAATTAAAACTTTATTGAAAAACACCAAAATAGGAGATCATTGTTGTATACCTTACAAAATCAAATGTAATTACATTATCTTGGAAGAGTAACTAGAATTACTGAACTTATAAGGCTTCTGTGAGAAAACATAAATTCTGAAAGTTGCATAGATCATTAGTGTTGCTTTCTTCTAAATGAACAACCTGCAAAGGAATCACAAGAATATATTAAAATGAAGTTTATTTCATCTTTGGTAAAACTTCAGTAGCAAAAAGTATGTTTTAAGTAAAAACTTCAGTTTTAGGAATATTAAAGATTGATATATACATACAAATTGTTTATCCCTTTATATCACAAATTTGCTATTATAAATCCATTATAGTTTATTCTGCTATGACCATAATTGTCACTCTGGTTTCTCAAATCATATAATGGAGTCTAGACCATTAGCCTGAATTCAACAATAAAAAACTGTTTTGAAGATAGTTTTTTAGAACTATTCAGAATAGTTTTCCTCAAAAATTAACTCCAAGTTCTTCTCAGATCTGTTAGGAAAACTGCTATAGATGCACCTTTGAACCATATGTCAGTATTTGACACAAAAGTCCAAAATCATACCATGAAATAAAGGTTTCAAAAATCTTGTGAATATGTTTTAAGAGTAATATTACTCTTATATATCAGTCCAAATCATACCATGAAATAAAGGTTTCAAAAATATTACGAATACACTTTAAGAGTAATATTACTCTTAAATATCATATGCTGACTTTGTACTCAGATCTTACCAAATTACACTAAATAGACCTTGGATTTACTGTTAATACCCTCATAACTATTTCAGTGAAAACAACACAGAACTCACAGCTCCAAAATAAATTTCACACCAAAATAAACTTCATATCATAATGAAGTTGTAAATCTGCAAATATTACTATGAAAAACTATGTACAAAATTATTTTTTCTTACTGCTCTAAAGTGAAAGAGGAATAAACAATTTTATATTAATCATTAAGTAGTTGTTCATAAAAATGAAACCTGTGGCATTTTAATTATATAATAGTTATCTTTTCTTCAGTTGGCAATGATAAAAAACTATCACAAGTTAAATATACCAAATACATATGGAACAAAATATTTACAAGAGAAATTTTTAAATCCTATGATTTTTAAAATCATAGGATTATATGTAGTTACTCTTGCTCCCATTCTGATTTATTTTTAATTTATTCCAAGCTAAGCAAATTGGGTGAATAAGTACAAAAGAAAGTGTTCCAAATTTAGAAAAACAATAAAGGAGATCTTTGTAAAGTCAAGAGCATGAATTTATCCAAATGAACTGGGCACTATTTACTAAAAAAGTCCACAATGAAAAATTTTAAAAATATCTCATCACTGGGTTAGAAAATATCAAATGATAAACCTTCTGTGAGTCTGGCCTTTCCTCCTGTAGGCTGGCACAACACTGTTGAACAACCTACACAAAGAACCACTGTCTGGGCATGGCTAAAAACTGTGGTAATCTTGTAGCAACCTGGAAAAAAAAAAAAGGCAGTATTAAAAGTGAAAAGCCGATGAAATCATAGCACCTGTTTGGCATATCTAGTAATATGTAAATAAATATTATTTTAAAAGTAATGTTTTATTTATCTCATGTAAGGATTTAGTGCTCCAACATCAAGTCACATATGTTACAAACTTTTCTAGTAACCACGTAAGTTTGTTTAATGGGTAAAAAATTAATATTTTCTTAAACTTGATATTTCAAAAATACTAGCATTTCAATATGTAATCAATTTTTTTGTAATGTCACATCTTGAAAGTCCAGTGTACCTTTTACCCTTAAAGACCATCTCTGTTTTGATGGCACACAGCCAAATGTGCTCAGTAGCCACATATGGCTAATGGCCACCACACTGGGCAGCCTGACTTACATTGAAAAGTCAACCTTTCATCACATCATAAAAAAGAAAACTCATCATCTGAACAACTTAATGTATTTATTAAGTCAATTATCAAATTCCCTTCGGATGCCCATCTTTACCTTTCCCAAATATGTTTCTACAATGACTTGAGTACATTATTATGAAAATATTCCTTGTGACATTTTCAATTCTCTAATTTCATTTCTATTCAACAGAGGATCCTAACATCTATATATACATAACAAAAGAGCAATCTCTTCAGAAATTCCCCGTAGGAAAAGAATTAAAATTTGAAATTTTACCTGGACATTTTACATCCATAAAATAAGAATTTGGACTTTGAACTAGCCGTTTCTTTTTATGTTTTTTCTTTTCCTCTTCCAAGGAAGGATGTAGCAAATCTCTAGCCAACTAAATAAAAAGGCACATTATTATTACTGGAGTTTAACCAAAATACTGGCATATTTAACCATACAGGAAATACACATGCAAAACAGGAACAACAGTCATACTCAATACAATTAAGATATTTAAAAATTTTATTAAAATCTGGTCATTTTCGCCAATACTTTGCGTTTCCAAAGACCTGCCATGGGGCTTTGTGACGATCAGAACGCCAATGGTAAAGCTAAACTCGTTGTTTACTCAACTACATAATAGTCTTCAATAAAAACAAAACTGCGGTGCTAACAAGACTGACTCTGGACTCGCTGAAAGTAGAAACCGCTGAAGTCCTAAGCGCTCGCCAACGCCTTGGTGATTTCTGCCCTGGGGGCAGAAATCTGATCTGACAAAACTTGAGATGAGACCGCCCTGGACGGAATTAGTACGTAAAACAACTGCGAAGGCAATGTTGAAAAGGAAACAAGCAAGAAACAGCCTCCCAGAGAAAGCTTCAGGGGCGAGAACCACGAAGCTCCAGAAAACCAAAAAAGATTCCAACGATCAAAGTCTCGTCGGCGCCTACCCAAAACAAGTGACGCTGGGAACAGTTCCACTCCTAGCCACGGACTCCAGATGGCAGTCCAGGGCGGCTCCGGGTCCACCCGGCTCCACGCCCGTGCAGGGCCCGCCATGCCGCGCTGCCCGGGCAAGTCACAACAAGCCCTCACACGCGAGAAGTGCCCAGCGATTCCAGCCGCCGGCCACCTCTGGCAGGGAGCGTTGCGGTCAAGGGAAGCCGTTAGGCTCAACTGCCCCCCTACAACTCTGGACAGACCGAAAGCCCGAAATAAATCCTGAGGCCGAAGTAAACAACTCACAGGCATGGTGATGCTTTCGCAAGCACGGTCCGTCCAGATCCAGCAGGCGACAGACTCTCTGGCTAGCAGCACGCGATCGGGCGCTCGGCACAACTTCCGGGATAGAGGTGGCTGGGAGGAGCGGAGCGGACGGTGGGGCGGGCTCGTCCACTCTAGGCACTCTTCTCGGTGGTGAGGACGCTCCGTCTGGGTCAGCGGGTCTAGGCCAACGAAGGTTCCCAGGGTGGCCAGGGTGCTGCTGTCCTCATCCCCACTTAACCTGCTGCTAGGCCGCAGGCTCCGCCCTGAGCCAATGGCGTTTGGACCAGGCTCAGGGCTGTAGTGTGCCGGGCTGGAGGGCCTCGGCGAGCTTAGGCCGGGAGAGGGAAGCTGGACCCGGCGGCCGCTCTCACAACCCGCCCGCCCTCGTTTCGCCCTGCTCTAGGCACGCGAAGTGGTGCGAGTATTCTCTGTTCTTTTTTGTGTTAAGAAATACAATGTTATTAACAATTAATATGTAGCAGAAAGATTATTAAACAGGTTCCTATCTTTGCATCTGCCTTCCAAGGTGCAGGTTTCGAAGTTCTCAACAGGATGCTGCTGTGCCTTGGGTTTGCTTTGATCTAAAACTGTTATTAAGCAGCACTCATTCTCTACTGTGCACCCTCTACCTAGAGGCCCCTTCCTGCCATACTTTTTTAGAGTGCATACTTTTTAGAGTGGACAACTCCAGCCTGAAAAAGCGGCGAATACCGCATAGAGCCAGATGTGAAGTGTGTTTGACAGAAGGAATGCTTGGAGGGTGGCGTGAGCATGTGTGCCTCAACACTAAGAAACTAGGGAGAAGCTTGACTGGAAAATTGTCCCAACAAGACATTCCTAATTACTTTTTCTCTCTCTTTGCAAAAAGAATACAGATATAATATTCAATTTGGGGAAATGCAGAAAAACAAAAGAAGATTAAGATTACCATCCAGAAATAAACATTGTTAAGTTTTGACCCATATCCTTCAAAATATTTTTTACTCACTTGCATAGGTTTCTTTTTGGTTTTGAATTTTTATGATTGGGATTATCTTGTGCATTATCTTTGGTAGATTTAAATTTCTCCTCATTAAATAGATAATATCACTCCCTAATACTATGTGTTTTCCTGCCTTATGATTGTTAATGGGCACATAGAAATTATCCTATGGGTGGATATATGGATATATATTATGATATGTATTATGTGACATTGATATATATGGTATATATATCTATCACTATATAATGTATGTATATCTCATTCCATTCATACACTGAATTGGATGTTAGGTTTGAGTCTTTAAACTATGGTATTTAAAATATTAATAAATTTTAATACTGCCATACAGATAAGTATATAGAATAATACAATTATATAGGCAGAATAATGGCCCCCAAAGATGTCAATGTCCCAATCCCCAAGATCTCTAGTAACTGGGCAAGTGTAATTAAGGTTGCTAATTAGTTGACTTTTAAAAGGTTTTGCTGGATTATATGTTTAGACCCAAAATAATCATAAGGGTCCTTGAAAGTGGAAGAGAAAGGAGAGAGAAGGAGAATATGGCCAAGGAAGAAGCATCTGAGAGATGCTATGTTGCTGGCTTTGAAGATGGAGGAAGGGGCTATGAGCCAAGGAATGTGGGTGGGCACCCTTTACAGAATAGAAAAAGCAAGGAAATAAACTGTCCCCTAGAGCCTCCAGATGGAACACAGCCCTGCCAACTCCTCAATTTTAGCTGTGAGAAACTGATTAAACTTGGAAATACAGAACTATAAGATAATACATTTGTATTCTTTTTTTAGAGAGAGATTTTTTTAATATTTATTTTTTAGTTTTCGGTGGACACAACATCTTTATTTTTTTTTAATTTTTATGTGGCGCTGAGGATCGAACCCAGCGCCCTGCACATGCCAGGTGAGTGCACTACCGCTTGAGCCACATCCCCAGCTCCAAATTTGTATTCTTTTAAAAGAAATTTTTGGTAATTTCTTATAGCAACAATAGAAAACTGATACAGAAATGAACACCTATGTATCCCTCCTCAACTCTGTAAAATCTTAACATTCATTATTCCCTGATACCAGTTTTTCACTATTAAACAACACTGAGGTGCACATTTTTAGTTAAGTTTTTGTGTACATCTTTGATTATTTTTTTAGGACATATTTCTAGAGGAGGAATTGCTGAGTCAAAAATTGGGCACATTTTAAAGTTTATAAAATGAACCGTCAAATTATTCTCCAAAAGAGTTAAACAATTTTTATTCCAGAAGAAAATGTATGAGAATAACCTCTTTTTTGCACCCTTGACAGTATTGGGTATTATGTCTGTTTTTCAGTTCTTTAAACAATTGCTTCAGTTCTTTAAACAATTCCCAGTAGGGTATCAAAAACCCTTCACCTATGAGACACTCAGAGGCAACATAAGAAAGAAAAAACTCTCTAGGTCAAGAAGACCTTGACTCTACTTCTGACACTGTCTCCCCCTCCAAAGCTCAATTTCTCCTGACCTGTCCCTATGCCTGTGCATTGATGGCAGATTAAAGGACTTGTAGGCAGATGAAGGCCCCAGAGTCTCTGTATTGACAGCCTGCTCTTGGGATCTTTCAGAAAGAACACCCCCACTGGCTGCCCAAAGAACCATGAGGTACAAATTGAAGTTATGATTTCTGCTCTGAGAACTCTCCAGCTGCCTATCTGGTCTGAGAAAGTGCCACTACCTGTCCCCTGAACTGAAATTCTTCAGTTACGTACGTCCTTGTTTTCCCAGAAAGAGGGTCAGAGGTTTAGTTTAGTTGTGTTTTCAAAAAAATTGGAGTGGGAGGTAGGAGCCCTAAAGATAATTTTTCACACCCTTCCCTTTCTGTTTTTTTTTTTTCTTTCCTGAGAAGTTCCCAAGACATGTCATCTGCAAACTTTAACAAGGTTGCGTTTTCTCTTTCTTCTATTGTTCACCTGTCATCAGGTTTCAAAGCATTTCTGGCTTATTCTCAACCATTTCTGATATCAGCAGCAACTTCTGAGAGGCCATCTCTCTTCTGCCTACCATTCTCCAACAATTGCCTTTGTGCCCAAAGAACCAACTGTAGGGGTTGCAGCCCATCTGTCATTCATAAGGATGCCTCACACACTCGGGTAAGCTCCCATTGATAAGGACTTAAGACTCTCAGACCCAAACTCTGATGTCATTTTCTTTATTTTCCATACCAACTGAGCTGGCAGATCATGTCCCTCATTATTGAGGACTGTGCTAGGTTTGCTGCATGTGTCTACCACCAGATCTTGCCCTTCATACTTCATGCTACTTGTGCCCAGGAGACAGACTGATGACTGCATCCACTAGATTACCTTCCTCTCTGATTTCTAGTTGAGTTGGGAATCAGTAGAGTGAAATTGCCAGAGAAGAGCAATGTTGGGTTATTTACTCCTCAGTATCTATCTTTGATGGGCCATTTTATCCCAAGTGACTAATTGCAACAGTTGCATGGTGTCCCTGTCTCTATGTTTCCCCCCTGTTCTTCCCCTTTGTGCTGAGGATTGGTGCTTTATAATCCCTTGTCTGTTTCTGTTAACCCTGTCCCAACCTTGTAAATACTCCCTTAAGGAAACTCTTTTTAGTCATACCTTTGAGTGGACCATCTGTAATCTGTCAGGACCCTAATGTGGGATTTCCCCAGTAGGGAAATGCTTCCCTCTTAGCTTGTATGGCTTTGCTGACAGGGCCCATCTACTCCTTAGTCATTAATCAACTGGGTCACCATGGAATGTCCATTGTTCCTGTCCATGGGACCCTTCAGGTTTGACAGACTAAGGTTCCTCTTGTTCAATGCTTGAAATGTATATGAGAATATTAAAGATATGACTTATAGGCCTAGCCATGCATATCCTTGTCATTTTGATAGTCAGCAGCATTAGTATCATCTGGGAACATGTTGGAAATACATATTCTCAGGCACCATCCCTGATCAACTGATTTCTGAATCAGTATTTTAACAAGATCCAGTTATATGTGAGCACATCCCAGTGAGAAGCACTGGCCTAGATTCACCACATTCTTTTATTTTGTCTGGTGCTGGGATTGAACCCTGGGTTTTGCACATGCTAAGCACATGCTATACCACTGAGCTGTATCCCCACCACCCCACTACATTGCCATTCTCTCTGGAGTCTTCCTACCTTCCCAATGGAACTTTCAAGAAGCCAGATCAAACTACTACTATTCCAGGGTTAGAAAATCAAGGATATATCTCTAGATTGAAGCAGGGAAGTTCCCTCTTCCCCTACTTCTCCAAGAAATCTTTATTCCAACAAATCTATTCTCCTTTATCATATCCAGGAGCTGAATGATCCTCAAACTAGGTTGCACATTATATAATTATAATTACCAAAAAATCAACCTTGACCAAGGAAATTAACAGAATTTGGGGAAAGGATCCGGGTGGCAGCATTTATTTATTTATTAGTATATTTTGGTACCAGCTGGCAGTATTTTTAAAAACTATCCAGGTAATTTTCATGAGCAGCCAAGGTTGAAAACCACTGATGCAAGTTCTTTACAGTTTTCAAAGGCAAATGCCAGAAAGAACTGAAAGTTACTACTCCTGAAAGGGAGTAAGCACTCTCCCCTTCCACTGGAGGTCTCAGCCAGAAGTCCCTCACCAGATCTTGCACTTTAATTCTGGATCCTATACACACTTGGTAGCCAGGTGAAATCTCCAAGCACTTGTCCTGCCTGCTGTGGTAATCAGGTCTCTGGCTTTCTCCTCAGCTTTCCTGCAGACTCTCTCTTTATCCTCCTGTCTCCAGGGAAGAAAGTGAGCTACTTAAAGGCAGGTTACTCTCTCAAACTTCATTGTAATTCCCCTGCTAATAGTAAAGATGTTTTATGAAAATACGGAGGTCAGCAGAAATTTGTGCAAATGTAATCACTTCCTTTTCTGAAATCTTTATTGCCTACATTAATCACTTCTTAATAACCACTGCAGTCTTTTGAGGGTTTTCTTTCTAATTCTCTTGCACTGATATTTTACTTTCCCTGAATCTGTGTCTTATCTTCCTGAAAAGTCCACAGCTTCTTGAAGACCAGAATTTGGTCTCATATCCTAATAGTGAAATCATGCTAATCACTGCAGGAAAATACTGCACTCAACATATCTGACTTGATGGCCATTCTTTGAGGACTAACCATTCCATCTGGTTTATCTAGACTCCGTCTCTTCTAACTTGACTAGATCTTTCTTGATACACACCTTTGATCATTTCTTTGTCTCACTTGGTGTGATGGGGAAACCAAAAAACCACTGAATTCTGACTGAAATTCAGTTAACTTGTTTCCAAAGTTGGGAAAATAATTCAGTCATTTGGGGGTGGGATTAATAAGACACTGTGATGAGCTGTGTGCTTCTTCCCTTGTAAAGTGCATACAGGCAAAATAAATGAAATGCTTTCTATTTTTCCATTAGATAAAAGATGATTAAAAAAACAAATAGTTGGGCTGGGGATATAGCTCAGTTGGTAGAGTGCTTGCACAAGGCCCTGGGTTCAATCCCCAGCACCACACACACAAAAAAAAAAACCCTCAAAATAAAATCATTAACAAACAAACAAATGGTTAAGGGGCTCAAAGTATTAAGAAGGATGGTGCTCTATTTAGTCACATATAAAAACTTATTCAACTATTTATGGAATGTCTGCTATACACAAAACAGCAAGCAATATAAACTGTTTTTCCTAGGAGATTTAATTTAATTCTAATAGTTACTTAACCATATGAGTTGTTTCCTCATATATAAATGAAAATATTTATACTGATTTCATAAGGTTATATGAAGATAAAAGAAATAGTGCATAGTAACTGTAAGTGCTCAATAAATGCAGCTGCAATTCCTTGTGTGTGTGTGTGTGTGTGTGTGTGTGTGTGTTTTTGTTTTGTTTTGTTTTGGTTTTTTGGTACTAGGGATTGGACCCAGGGCACTCAATCACTGAGCCACATCCCCAGCCCTATTTTATATTTTCTTTAGAGACAGGGTCTCACTGAGTTGCTTAGCACCTCACTTTTGCTGAGGCTGGCTTTGAACTGGATCCTCCTGCCTCAGCCTCCCCAGCCCCTGGGAATACAGGCATGCACTGCCACATCCAACTCCTTGTGCTTCTTGACAATAAAGAAATCAGTTGTCTTTGGGAATCTTAAGCTGTTGGTGGTTTCCCTTGTGGGGACTCATAAAATCAATGTCTTTACAACAGTTCTATCTTGAGGACTATTGTAAATATGTTCAATTGGCAGAAATTACGTGCTGGCAGGCTGGGGGTATAACTCAGTGATAAAGCTCTTGCCGAGCATGTGTAAGGTCCTAGATTTGATTCCCAGCACCACAAAAATAAATAATAATAATACTTTTAAAAGAAAGAAAGAAAATACTTGCTGGAATCTATAACCTTTGAATCAAAAGCTGAGAGATTGTCCTATCCACACTCAGTAGTGGCATAAACAACCACTTGTTGTTCAGGACAAGTGATGGCCAGCAGACAGCCTCATCTTCCTGTTTCAAGTGAGAGGGGAACCATCTCTTGGAGGGACACCTACTCTGTGACACAGGCACTCCACAAGTAATGAGCTGCTTACTTGCTTAAAACATAGACCATAGTTGTTATGCGTTTCCTAAAAAAAAAAAAAAAATCCTGTAATAGATAGATCCTAGAAAACAGTTGAGAATGAGTCTAATTTTCCCTCATTTACCCCTAAACATTCCACTCATTTGAAACTACTTTACTAAATCAAACTACTGAAGTTCCAAATTTCTCTTGAATGAAAGTTAAATAACATTGGCTCTAAATGTATTTTTTTATAGAGACATATGGTCCACAAATCTAGTAGAAGTCCTGTCTTTTGAACAGGGCCAACGTACAGCCTTTGAGTAGCACAGACACTCAAGAAATGGGGCATGGTAAATGAGCTGGGGGACAGACTAGGGTTTCAGGTGCTATAGTGTTTGCTAGTTTCTGTAAATATCCCCACAACAGCCAAATTCAAAGTAGGAAGATGAAGTTACTTTAAGAGAGTTGGTAAGAGGTGGGCATAATCTCTGATCAGAATGCTCAGGTATTATTTTAGGAATATTCAATTATCACTAGGTCTATTTATAAAATATCCACATCAACACTTTGGGGATTCCTTTTCTCTATCCTCTGATCACAAAGTAGGGAACACTGTATATACTATGAGGTATAGCTCAGAAGTAGAGCACTTACCTCTCATGTGTGAGGCTCTAGGTTTTATCTCCTGCACTACAAAAGGAAAGAACAAAAAAAATTTTGTTTTTTTGCTGTTCCCTGCAATGAAAAATACGAAAAGAATGGACTACTGGCCAGGCATGATGCACACCTGTAATCCCAGCGAGGCTGAGGCAGGAGGCTCAGGCAAGTTTAAGGCTAGTCTCAGCAACTTAGCCCCTGTCTCAATTAGCCCCTCATCCACAAACTGGCAGATCAATTTTGAAGAAACAGGAGTTGGCCTACTTGTCTTACCTGCCTGAGCACAACACATTGCACAGAGTAAGAGCTCTGTGAGACATTGCCTTCTGACTTGTAAATCATATGGCAAATGTCAGGTTATGTAGGAACAACCTACTCCAATTTTAGACAGCTTCAGTTGTTCCTTATTGTATCAAAATCTGTTTGCTTAACTTAAATTCTCCAAGCCAGGGTGGGAAACACAGAAATACATGTCATTCATTTTCCCAAAAACAAGCCCAGGGCCAATTGAAGATAGTGTTTTATCTTTTCTTAGACTTGGTTTCTCCAGGATGAGTTTCACTGACTCCTGTAAACAGTATTTGCGATTTCTTATTCTCTGATATGCTTCCATTTTCTTATATCACTATTAAAATAGTTTCAATGGCTAAATATATTGCCAGCTTAAAATAATGGAACCATTACTTTGCCTATTCTGATAATCATATTTTTATCAGTATAGCCCAATATCACTATAAGATTTTTTGCCAATTCAATAGCATTACACTATTGATTTACATAAACTTACAGCTGATTAAAATCCTGTCTTTAACTGCTATTACACCCCAGACCCTTATGCTTTAATTGCATTTTAAGAAATCTAAAATTGCTTTGAATGTACTAAATATAATTGAAATATACACTTTAAGTTGGTGAAGTGTATGGTATATAAATTATATGTCAGTTAACCTGTTTAGAAATCTAAACACAGGAAAGAAAAGCAGATGTATTCTGTTAAATACCTATGTTCTTTCCAGATGCTTTATCTTATATGACCTTTTAAATAATCCTTTTGAATTCTAGAGAAATTAATATACTGTCCAAATGAAGAAACAAGTACTAAACTCAGGTCTGCACAAGTACCCATGCTCCCAACACCCTCATTCCACTATATCCACACTCCTTTTTTTTTTTTTCCTGGTGATGCTGGGGATTGAACCCAGGGCCTTATGTATGTGAGGCAATCACTCTACCAACCGAGCTATATCCCCAGCCTCACTCTCCATTTTTGTCAGTCTACTGAGTGCCAAGCATTGATTTTGGTTTCTAGATGAGGTCATTGGGAGGAGCTCTGATTAGGCAGGCAGAGCCAGCCACAGGACCACATGGACCCTCAGAGTAGTAACTGGTGACATAGTAGGTTAGAGAGCATCAGAGTTTGAAAAGATCTAGTAAGTGGAAAAAAAACCCCACAGGTCTCCAATAAGTAATCAAATATGATTACTGGAAGTGATAAAAGTGGAGGTGGTAGAGTGGGGAGGAGATGCTGGGAAGAACAGTGTGAGTGATTCAGTCTGGCAGTGTGAGTCAGGCAGGACAAAGGGCAGGTAGCAAGGTCTCACCTTGGTTTATGTTTCCAGCACATTACCTGGGGAGAACAGGTGTAAGCAAATTAAGGATGCAGGGTCCTGGGCAGGTTCAGGAAAGAAAGCAGGCACTAAAGCCTGGGAATCAAGGACTCAAATCCTACAATAAGGAATCAGACCTGAGACTCAATTACAGGATGAGGGCAGAAGTCCAGGCCAAAACTCACACATATAGTTGGAGCATGACATGTTAGAGGGTAACCTAACTATGTGTCCTGAACTACCAAAACAGAGCTCCTCAAAGCCTTCAGCTAGACCCAAGACTTACCTGTGAATCTGGGGAAGGGTCACACTTACAGATGAGTGTCAAATTCTCCAGCAATAGAACTGATCTATTGTTGGAGGAATTGATGAAACCACTGCTGATTATTTGTTGTGGCTACAGTATACATAACCAATGACATACCCCATGGAAACATTCCAAGTGAGACAAAATTCTGGGTGTGCCATCAATAATGCTTCCTAATATACAAGAAAGCATATCAGTGACCAAGAGAACATTGTTTCAGGGCTAACCGTGAATCTCTTTGTATCTACTCCAATCATCAGCAAAAATTATCTGTGCCTATTTGATCTTAGCACACTGGCCAGGGTGGGCATCAACAGGCAGACACTTTCCATACAACCAGGATCTCTGGCTTGGCCCCCCTCTCTGCCAGAGCACTGATTTAGCAAAGTCTCCTTGGGTTTCAAGTAACAGAGACATCTCACACTTGCATGAGCTAAAATGGACAGTGACCTGGACATAGGCCAGGGCAGCTGGGCCCCATGGGGATGGGAACAAAACCTTGAAAGGGCACTGGGAGTGGAGACAGCTCTGCTTCTACCACCTCTCTCTTTCTCTTGGGGCAACCTAGTTTCTTATCTCTCCTCTCTAACACTGCTTCAGTCTCTTTGCTCCACAGCCTGATTTTTCCTGCCTCCAGAGTACATAGTGAAAATGGCCATACCAGCTCCCTGTTATATGGTGTCCTAGTTCCAGGGCCAATTGTGACTGACCATAGGCCTATGTCCCAATTCTAGATGCCCTAGTAAGAGAATCTGGTTATCTTAGTTTGAGCCTGGAGTATTTACTCCAATCATCTGTGGCCAGGCCAGCAGAAGTGCTTGAGGTGATAGTGACTCCTATGGAGGGGATTGGGAAAGGAGGCATAGACTGGATGAAAACGTCACCAGGTGCTTATTTCCTCCTAACTGTTGTCACTGCTTCATGTGGCACAGCACCTGGTGGCTCCAAGTCCTCTCCTTTAGGCAGCTTTGCTGTTGCTCTGCCTTCTCACTGAAACACAAAATATTCAGTTTATTGACTGGGAACATTTTCTCCATAAACTTCAGCAAACTGGTGATAAATATCTACAACAAAAACTTTTTTTTCATGTAGATTAATCAAATCTGGGTCCATGCATCAAAGGAGAAAACAAACCAAAGACATACCAAGTACATTGACACTGAGTCAATTTACAAAGATCTACATGTGCCTGACAATATTATTCTACAACCAACAAAATCACTGTGCCTAATGAACAAGTAATTCATTTGCAAAGTGCCTTTTTAAAACAGTCCTAACATTATATCTGAATGAGAACTGTTTTATTCATATTTTTTCAAGTGCCAAAGAATAAAATCTGAAGTTAGGGGTGAGAGGGAGAAAATCTGGAGGTTCTGACATAAGTGGATTCCTGCTTCAGTTTTATAAAATGGCATTAAGGGAACTGTGAGGCAGGTTGCCAAATCTGAAGGCTATACTTCTAGGCTCTGAGAGCAACTAAGATTTCTTCCCATACAATCTCTAATTGATGATGAGGATGACAATGGCCAGGATATCACCTGAGCACTTATTTTGTGCCATGCACTGCTCTAAGCCCTTCACATGGATTATCTCAGAGGGAGACAGTATTAATATCTTTATTTTATAGATGAAGAAACTAAGGCATAGAGATAGTTAGGTACAAGTCCCAAGATCTCACAAGTGAGAATTTGCAGAAGTAAGATACAAATCTAAGTTGGGCTGCAACTAAAGATAAGGGCTCAAATCCAGGGCCTCATACAAACTAGACAGGTGCTCTACCACGGAACCACACTCCAGCCTAGCCCTAGCTGAAGACGTGTGTGTGTGTGTGTGTGTGTGTGTGTGTGTGTGTGTGTGTGTTGCTGGGGACTGAATCTAGGGCCTTGTTCATTCAAAGCAAGCACTCTATCAACTGAGCTATATCCCCAGCCCTAGCTGAAGACTTTTGAACTTAACCACTACAATATTGTTTTTAGATCTTCCAACTAATTTTTTAATTAAAAAATGTAACTCCCTAGTGGACTCGAGGCCTTTGTATCATTTTTTTTAATATTTATTTTTTAGTTGTAGTTGGACACAATACCTTTATTTTATTTATTTATTTTTATGTGGTGCTGAGGATCAAACCCAGAGCCTCACATGTGCTAGGCGAATGCTCTACCGCTGAGCCACAACCCCACTCCCCTTTGTATCATTTTTATCACTCATTAGGTCTTTTTATTTTCAATGTATTTGAACAAGCTTTCTCTGTGTGTTTCCTGTAAGGAAAATACTGGTGTCATGGGCTAAGTAAAAGTGATTAAGACCCTCTTAGGGTTTTCAGGGAATTTAAGATTATTTAATATTAAAGAAAAGACTGTATGAACATACTTATAACACAAGATTGAATATGATCTACCATCCCAGAAACACTAGAGATATTAAGGGAAAAGAGCAGTCCTTTCTACTAGGTATATAAAAGTTATGATCTGCAATTGAGCATCATTAAATGATGTGAGATAAGAATCCATGTTAGTCTGTCCCATGTTAGTCCAGCTCCAGGAATAAACAGATATACCTTGTTCTTTGTACTTTGGTATGGAATCCAACCCACCTGTTACTAATTGGACCAAGTGGATCTTGGTGCTGCCTGCCAGCCAGATATCTGACATATGCACTGATTTCATGCTTGTTGCTCCCCTCCATTACCAAGCCCTGCTTTATTTTCAGGCAACTTGAACGCAACTATATGCTTTCCTGTACCTCTGAAGTCTGTAGCAGTCTGCCACTGGGACTTGGATTCTTAAATGTGACAGCAGAAATCAGGATGCACTCCAGACTTAAATGACTTGGGTAAAATAGCTCTAATGCTCCTTTTCATTGATAGACGACTTTACATGACAAAGCCCATCGAAATCATTACTAATTAAACCTGCCACTCGCCTTCTGAAGTAGGGCTGAATTAGTTTGCTCGTTTAACAGCTGACAAAACAGAAAGGCTTAGGGATTTGCTGAAAAGAAGTGTTTAAGGCAGGAAGCCTGGCCTCATTCCATTTCTAGTTTATTCTTTGCCTGAAATAGGCCTTCAAAGTGCCCAGCTCTTAACCCCAAGCAGCTTACGGAAATCAACCGGGAAGAGGAGCTTGGCAAAGCAATGGCAGGAGTGTAGACCACAGCATTAGTGTGGGGCTTGAATTATTTGAAAACAGTCCTGTCATATTTTTCTGGTTCCCAGTGGATATTAAACACTGTCTCCCCCACACACATACGCCTACAGAGTTTCTCCTCTTGAATCAGAGAATAGGAGCAGAATGTTGGGATATAATTTGAATGTTGCTTTAGAGCAATACTACATTTGACCTGGTAGCAGTGTGGCCCATCCACTACCCACAGTTCAATCTCATTGACAGATTCTTTTTTTTTTAATTTTAATTTTTAAAAAATATTTTTAGTTGTTGATAGATATTACTTATTTATTTATATTTATATGTGGTGTTGAGAATCAAACCCAGTGCCTCATATATGCTAGGCGAGGGCTTTACCACTGAGCTACAACACCAGCCCTTATTAGCAGATTCTTTACAGTTGGCATAAATATCCAGATGTTCACCCCTCATTGGCAGATTCTTTACAGTTGGCATATATATCCAGATGTTTCACATTTGCAGATTCAACGAACCATGGATCAAAAATATTTGAATAAAAATTGCATCTGTACAGACTTTTTTCTTATCAATATGCCTTAAACAATATGATCCAACAACTATTTACATAGCATTTCCATTTCATTATGTATCATAGTGATTTCGAGATGATTAAAAGTATACAGGAGAATATAGGTTAAATGCAAATACTATACCTTCTTATATAAGAGACCAGGGCACCCACATTTTTTGATATGGGGGTTCTGGAATAAATCTTCCATGGATACTGAGGGATGATCATATATTAAAATTTTCAAACTCAAACGTATTCTAAGAGCAGACCCAGTTCCACATGGGTAGGACCTGGTGCAAGAGAGAAATGAGAGCCCACATAGTATATGTTTAAAAATTATAGCTGAAACTAATGAACTAATTCCCTACCTTGACAGATATACATTTATAATGACCCAAAAAGTCCTCAGAGCACATTAGAAGGTTTTGGTTCAGGGAGGGTGGTCCTAACCAATCCAGATGCCCTTCTTTCTCACCTAGTGGCATCATGACATGAAGTAGATCCCAACCAAACTCTGGTCATATCTCCACCTCCTTTTGGTCACTACTTTGGCCAATGATGCCACACCAATTGTACAGTTTGCCCTCAGAAGGAAAGATCAGTGGAAGAAGACCGCATCAGTCTGGGAAGCAGTGACTTTGGCAGGGAATTCAGGGTCTGGGTACCCTGAGTATGGTTTAAAAGAAAGTCATGCTTCTAGGCAAGTAAACTATTGGCTTGTAGACTCCTTGCCTATGAAAAGGAGTGACCAGAGTAGGCCCCAGGGGTGGGATCTCAGAGCAAATCATAACCAGCCAAATAATAAACCAAAAGTGTGAGTTAATTTTAGAGTTTACACAAATCTGATACCATCAATAATTTCTACCTTAACTATAAAAAGAAAGGCATAAATGGTTTAAATGTGTTTTTTTTTACCCTTGGGTTTGAACCCAGGGGTACTATACCACTGAGCTACACCCCCAGACCTTTTTATTTTTTATTTTGAGAGAGTCTGGCTACATTTTCCAGGCTGTTCTTGAACTTGTGATCCATCTGCCTCAGTCTCCCTGGTTACTGGGATTATAGGTGCATGCCACCATGCCTGGCTGTTTTATTTGCTATCTCCAACAAATAACTTACTTATTCTGGAAGTATGCATGATCTCTAGTAGGTGTAAAGGCCCACATCCAAATGAATAAGCTCTATAATTAAATATTTCACTAGAGAGGTTGAATTCCCCTAAGAACCAGATATCAAAACTATAGGTAGTGATCCTGGGGAGTGGAGTGCCATTCTACTGACACCCAAGAAGGAAAAAGAAGGAAATATGTCACACTGGGCTACTGGCATGTGCTATATTGCTCTTTGGGGCAGAGGGTGTGTCCTTTTGTGGAGGGTGATACTGGGAATTGAACTCAGGGGAACTTGACCACTGAGCCACATCCTTAGCCCTATTTTGTATTTTATCTAGAGATAGGGTCTCACTGAGTTGCTTAGCACTCTTTTTTTGCTGAGGCTGGCTTTCTTTGAACTTGCAATCATCCTGCCTCAGACTCCTGAGCTGCTGGAATTACAGGCATGTGCCACTGTGCCAGGTTAGAGGAATGTCCTTGAGTCAGCCAAAGGTGAGAGGATCTGCAAGACAAAATATATCCCCTGTTACCCTCAGAATCAGGGTTGTGATGCCAGTCCTGTCTTAAGATACAAAGAAGTTAAAATTATGAACTTCTTTATGGTTAACCCATGCCTCAGTTTTGTTTAAATTAGTTTACATTTAAATTTAAGAAAATATGTCCATATATATAAGAGGATTTGTGTCATCAAATTCTCAATGCAAAAGATATAAACAAGGAAATGTGTAAGATGTATATTTTGATGATGATTGTTACCGTTGCTATTGTGTATTAAAAGTGTATTAAATGTTAACACTCAATTTTGGACTTTGGCTCAAGCAAGGGCTCTCATCCAGCCTTCTCTGTCAACATTGTTTCTAATATACAAAGGACACATTTCCTTAATGATCTTTTGAGGTTGGCTATATAAATTAATTTCCTTAAAATCCTTTTTGATTTTAAAATGAAGGTAAAAATTAGATAAAATAGTTGGTTCACACCTTCAGGCAATGGTATTTCTTGGATATGGAAAGACAGGTTCTCCTTCCGCCCCAATAAGCTTCCTTCACAAATATCTACTATCTGTTCAGACTGAACTACTCTGAAGAGCCAGGGATAATTTGTGTGCCCAGACTGACCCCATTTCTGGTTACTGCCTCACAATTTGGCTTGTTTACTACTGTCAGCACAAGTATCCAACTTTCTGAAAGCATCCTCAAAGTCTCCCCAGTACAGTTCAGGTTTCATGTCATTGTGATTCATCCTCCTCACCCATCCAGTCTTAAGGTGAATTGTGTGTCCAGAGCAAGTAACTCAACGCTGGTCAGCAAGACTATCCTCATTTGTTCCTGACCTGCAATCTAATGAGAAGTGTGACTCTTGGGTGATGCTGATGGCTGCTAGGAAAACCTGATGTCTCATAACCTTCCATTAATTCAGTCAGGGAATTGGGTGTTCTGATACTGGTAAACTACTTGCCTGCAGACTACCAGTTTTGAAGGAAATATGAACTAATTTTGAAACAACTATAAACCAACACATCAGCACATTAAAGCATATCATAATTCCATCTAGTATTGTATCACTTATGTGTCTGCTTTGCCTCCCCCATAAGATCATAGACTTCTTAAGGATGGCCTGTATCAGTTTTATCTTTATTCCCTTGATAGTACCTAGAAAGTTGCTTTATATATTGCAGGTGTTTAAAAAGTTTTTTAATTAAATGAATCAAAATGTAGAACACAAATGATAATTTACCAACATGACAGTCCTTCTCTGATGACTCAAAAGATCCTCCAGGATCACACATTTCTTCAGGGCCATTATGTGTGTTTATTTTGGATATGTTTAAGTATAGGCCAAATGGTTGAAAGGGGAATTCTGCAGTGACTGGAAGATAGGATTTGATATCTACTAACTCATTCAAATCCCAACTCTATTGTGCATATATTTAAGTGTTAAACAAGAAATGATCCCATTTGATTTCTAAAATAAATACCATGTCATAATCCAGTTGTTTGTGAAACCAGAAGATTACAAATCAAGAATGTCAAATGGCCAGTTTTTTATTAGCCTTAACCAGAGTTCATGGTCCTTGACCACAAGAGGTCAAGGAATATATCTTTGAGATTTTTTGAAAAGGTAGTATACTATTAGTACTGCTAATGTATCATTACCATTATTTAATTTTACTAAAACCCAATAATTAATTATAATTTACCAATTAATGCAAACACATTTATCACTATGTAGCTAATATATCCTAAGCTCTGTGTTAGTCATTAGGGATACAATGTGAATATAATTCATGCCCTAAAGAAATTTAAATAATTCATCTCTAAAAACATTTAACTATGAACATCATTTTATGGCACTTTAAATGTCAGTGTAGGAAATTAGCCTGGGTATGACATGACCCTCTAACATATCCTGTAACTCACTCAAAATATAGAACAATACAAAAGAAAAAAAGGTGAATGTTAGCTTAAATACTTGACATTTGTCTTTTTCTCAAAAACACAGCATAGAGAATGTTCATTGAAGAGTCAAGTTTTTTGTACTGTCAGAATTCTGGGTGGATATGTTTCTGCACAAAGGTGCTTTTCATTTCACTTTAGTGCTCCCAAGACCTAGGGTAAAGCCCTGCACCAGATGAAGAGGAAACAGCCACTGTGGTGCCCTTGGTTCACCTTTGTGTGGGTGTGATGGTAACAGAGGTGGCAGCAAGAGGCCCTGCTATGAGATTCAGGAGAACGTGTAAGTTGGGGACAAGTGTTCCGAGTCCAGTTTGTCAGGAACTCTGGTAATACTGCCTCACAGCTTCCTGTAAATGTGCTGATTCTCATCTTGACAGTAGGACTACTTTACAATTTAGTATCTTTGTATCTAAAAAATACAAAATAGATTAAATCAGCTTCCCAACATATATTCTACAGAACACAGGTCCCAAAAGATCAAAAAGGAGTGTGAAGAAAGATGTTGCCACACCCTGTTGTAGACAGGCACTATGTACCTCTGCATTTAAAAAGTTCTGAGAATCTATTCTGTCCAAGCACTATGGCAGCAGCATTTCTTGAAAGGCTTTGACTATGAAACCTTTTCTTCTACTATCACCTACCAACATCTCCTGATTCATTTGGTGT